TGCCTTTTCCCTAGATCAATCTGTTACAAAGCACTTTGTTCTATAAATTCTTTGGGAATTTGTCATGTAGGTTCGGAAGATCTGTCAAACCATTGCGTTCATGTCTCCCGCTGTATGTATGTCGCTTTCATCTGTGGATCTTGGATTACCACCATGGGAAATAGTTGGATTCTTGACCGGTGGCTTGGCCCTATCAAGTTTTGCTTTATCAGGTGACAGGAGATTTTTTATTCATCTATCTTTCCTCGCAAATCATCGGTGAACTGTTATCAAGTAGAAAGTGTGCTTAGATTGGCAAAAGCTTGCTGACGTGAATACTGTAATGTTGTTTTTCAATGTTTTGCCAGGACTTTACTGTACACATCAGGACATGTCACCTGAATATGCAAGCATACTTCTGGTAATGTTGTTTTCATTCCTAACACACCACACCGCATGACTCTTATGTTATTACTGTGCATGTAGTTCCCGTGCTATGTAAAGCTATCATGCGATAGAGTTCTTGTTTGGTGGAACTGAAACAAAAGAAGATTTTCTGTTGTATACTCACATCTTGCAATCTGCAAACAGTTGATCCTGGTGTATGTTTTTATCGTGAAATTTTGCAACTCAGGGTATTACAAACACGGTCGGGGCAGTACCTGGAATAGTAGGAGTGGCTCTTACGGGTTTTCTCCTTGACACGACCCATTCATGGAGTGTAAGTTGCTAACTAACACCCTTTTTTCTCCGAGTTTCTTTTCAGTTTGAGCTTCTCTTTCTTCCCCCCCAAAAACAATGGCCATTGCAAAGTTACAGCAACAGATTTGGAGAAGAAAAAGCTCAGAGTGTAACTGTAACATGTTTGGTGTTTGTGTAGATGTCTCTATTTGCACCATCCGTATTCTTCTACTTGACAGGCACTGTTGTATGGTTGGCATTTGCAAGTAGTAAACCTCAGAATTTCACCAAGGATGGAATGGAAGTAATGACTGATGATGAATGAGTGAGTTTTCCCTTCTGACCAGACAGGTACAAAAGGTAAAATGGTGGTAATTTTTTGTTCCTCCTCATAGCATTTTACCCGGTCTGGGTTATTTACTGCATAGTTTCAAATGTAAACACTTGCTGTAAAGTTGTGTATACTTTTTTGTTACTTAATACAGTTGGAAATTCCTGAAATTACCCAGTTGGTTATTAAAATCATTAGATTATACACCTTGTGTTCATAATTTATATATGTGCATATCCAAAACCATATATAGATATCACACTACAAAGAAAACTAAATTAATATTATACATGAAAGAATCTGTATATGCCCTTATTTTTCCTAAGAAACGTTAACATTGCTCCAAACAAATATTTTTTGGGGGGAATTTCTTAAAAACTTTGAAGATATTTATTTAGGACGCTCATGCAACAAAAAGTTCAACGCGATTTTACACGACTTAGTGGCAGAAAACGTAAATAACTCAGAAATTTGGGGGCAAAGTCATGCTTATCGGTTAGTAGCCGACTCCGGGAAACTTTTTTTTTTTAATAATCTGTGGCCCATGGGTTTAGAACGAGAAACGTTGCTTAAACCTTCGGTGCTCTCACCCCAAACTCGGCGCACGTCATTTGCTACGCGCGACTCGCCACTTCGATCTACGTTCTTCGCCGTTGGTTCTCATAGATCGGATTTATCTTCTCTTCTCCATGTAGGTGATTCCTCATCTCGAATCTGTTTCTGTGCCTGCAACACGTCGTTGATAAGCGTTTTTTGTTGAGGAGAAGGTTTAAGATCTGTGCTCGTCTCGTTATTTCCCGATCTGGGTCATCCAGATCTGACGTATTTGTTTGTGAATTTGTTCCAATATGAGCTCGATGGGTCGATGTGGTATCTGGGTGCTTGCGATACTCTTGATTGTTCAATCGGGATACGGGTTTTATCTTCCTGGTAGTTATCCCCATAAGTATAAAGTGGGTGATCCATTGAATGTAAAAGTGAATTCGCTTACTTCGATCGAAACGGAGATGCCATTTAGCTATTACAGTTTACCCTTCTGCAAACCTCCCGAGGGTGTTAAAGATAGTGCGGAGAATCTTGGTGAACTTCTCATGGGGGACCGGATCGAGAGTTCTCCGTATAAGTTTAAGATGTTCACCAATGAGAGTGAGATCTTCCTGTGTCGAATTGATAAGCTGAATGCTGATACTTTCAAGCTCTTGAAGAAGAGGATTGATGAGATGTATCAAGTTAATCCGATCCTTGACAATTTGCCTGCTATTCGGCACACAAAGAGTGATGGCTTTGTTTTGAGGTGGACCGGGTATCCGCTCGGGATTAAGATTCAAGACGCTTACTACCTTTTCAACCACTTAAAGTTTAAGGTTCTTGTCCATAAATACGAAGATCCAAATGTGGCTCGTGTAATGGGTACTGGGGATGCAGCCCAGATGATTCCAACAACTGGGAAGAAGGGCTCAGATGAACCTGGGTATATGGTTGTTGGGTTTGAGGTGATTCCTTGTAGCTTCGCACATAACGCGGGAACCACAAAGAAGTTGAAAATGTATGGCAGGTATACAAGCCCAATCAAATGTGATTCCACCCATGTATCTATGTCTATCAAGGAAGGCCAGTCAATCATCTTTACCTATGAAGTCAGCTTTGAGCTCAGCGATATCAAATGGCCATCTAGATGGGATGCTTACTTGAAGATGGGAGGAGCTAAGGTTCACTGGTTCTCAATCTTGAACTCTCTTATGGTTGTCACTTTCTTGGCTGGCATTGTTCTTGTGATATTCTTGAGAACTGTTAGGCGTGATTTGACCCGCTATGAAGAGCTTGACAAGGAGATGAATGAGGAGTTGTCTGGGTGGAAGCTTGTCGTGGGAGATGTTTTCCGCGCTCCATCAAATCCATCTCTCTTGTGTGTCATGGTCGGTGATGGTGTTCAGATTCTCGGCATGGCTGTTGTGACTATCTTGTTTGCTGCTCTTGGGTTCATGTCACCAGCTTCTCGTGGAGCACTTATCATGGGTATGCTGTTGTTCTACATGATTCTTGGTATTGCAGCTGGTTATGTTGCTGTTCGTCTTTGGAGGACAATCAGCGGGGGCAATCACCATGGATGGGTATCTGTTTCATGGAAAGCTGCTTGCTTTTTCCCGGGTATAGCATTTGTTATCCTTACAACACTGAACTTTCTTCTATGGGGTAGTCATAGTACTGGAGCCATTCCGTTTTCTCTCTTTGTTATTCTCCTCCTCCTCTGGTTTTGCATCTCGGTTCCCCTCACTCTTATCGGTGGTTACTTTGGCGCCAAGGCTCCTCACATCGAATACCCAGTTCGAACCAATCAAATTCCCCGAGAAATCCCTGCCCAGAAATACCCATCATGGCTTCTTGTCCTCGGGGCCGGAACTCTTCCCTTTGGAACCCTCTTCATCGAGCTTTTCTTCATCATGTCCAGCATCTGGATGGGCCGTGTCTACTACGTTTTTGGGTTCCTCTTCATCGTCCTGATCCTTCTAGTGGTGGTTTGCGCTGAGGTGTCCCTAGTGTTGACCTACATGCATCTGTGCTCGGAAGACTGGAAATGGTGGTGGAAGTCCTTCTTCGCTTCAGGCTCAGTCGCCATCTACATCTTCATATATTCCATAAACTATCTCGTCTTTGACCTGAAAAGCCTAAGTGGCCCCGTCTCAGCTACTCTTTACCTCGGTTATTCGTTGTTGATGGTTCTTGCCATCATGTTCGCGACAGGTACTGTCGGTTTCCTTTCTTCCTTCTGGTTCGTACACTACCTGTTCTCTTCGGTGAAGCTAGATTGAGGGTCCATCCATCCATCATCCCTTCACAGCTCAGAGATTGTTGAAATTTTGGAGAGAGCATTTTGAGAAACCATGATCCATCTCACTGCCCCAACAAAGCAGAAGCGAGAAAGTGATGTATTGATAGACAGATAGATAGATGGATAGATAGTGTTATACTGAAGCTTTGTGTTATGTTATATTCATCATGTCATAGTTACAGAATAGTGTTTCATCACGCGTCTGAATTGAAACATTTGGTGTGTGTGTTTTTTTTAAATTTTCTTACCCTCTCTTCAGTTTTCACTTTTTACCGCTGCAGATTCCATTGTATGCTTTGTTTCCAGTAGCTGAATAATCTGCAGATATAATTGTTCAGAAAATACAGAGACTACAAGAAAGATCAAAGTGTACTCGGAGACTTTGTCTTAAAAGTGTCTAAGGGTCGGGACGTTGTTCTTTTTAGATGTTCGAAATGAGGTCCTTTTGTAGAATGTAACTCTAAAATAAGTTTCACTGGCTTTTTTTTTAATTCAAAATCTATAGAATGGACATAATTAATTTTTCGAATTAGGTTTTATATGAAGTTAAATTTTAACTGTTGATATCTCAATCAGATTTTTACCCATCTATTAATGGTGTTAATCTTTTTAATGGTCTCCGAAATTTAACTTGACAAAAAAAATTCTGATTTTTTTAGTTATTTTTTATTTGGTTCAAATCATTTCGAATTGATTTTAGAAAATTATAAGAATTCGATTTTTATATGAAATTCGATTTATATTTGATCGATTGAATTGTTCGTTGATTAGCCAAATAAATACTAATCACATGTGTCAAAAAAGTAAAGAAAAATAATTTTCATATATCTTTTTTTAGTTTTCATTCCATGGTATTTTTACGGTACAATAAAATCTAAAAATTGTGACCAAACAAAAAAAAAACAACTAAATTCTATTATATGGTATACAATTCTATTATAACTAAAATTTAGAGCAGTAGGTTCCAAAAGTTTGTCCACCTTGTGCTCAGTTTAATGGCTGTTGTATTTACCTTTTTGTGTAAATAGCCGACACTAGGCTGGATATTTAAGATATTTAATAGAACATTCACATTTAACCAAAAAAAAAAAAGTTTGTCCACCTTTTTTTTTCATGATGTGTTTTTAGATAACATCATAATTTCCTTTCGGAGGGGAGGTCTCCGAGAAGTTTGGAGATGCACTGTTAGTAGACTTGTCTTAGATTCCAAAATTCTTGGAATCTCCAGAATATTCTTAGTCCGTTGCACTCAAACTACTCCTCCGAGTTAGATTTTTAAAGGCACCACAGACGACAACGCTTAAAAGAAACTTTTCACAACTGCAATTTGGTATCACGCGTTTCGAATCTTTCGATTCACTGACCGGTTTAGCACAACAAACCAAAACCCATTTTGCCACATTGTTATCGGTTCACTGACCGGTTTAGCACCACAAACCAAAACCCTTTTCTGCCACATTGTTATCAGTACACTTTGACCGATTTAGCAAAACAAACAAACAAAAAAAACCATTTTTGCCCATTGTTGTCAATTTTGCCTTCAGCTTCTGATAATATTTCTTCTGTATTTCTCAAAGGCATCAAACTCTCATATCAGAACGGAAATAAGTTACACGGCCACAGAGGGTAAAAGTTCGTTACGGTAAAAATCTAAAAAAGAGGGGAATCCTAATGCAAATTCACACTGAGTTTTTGGTTCCAGACCAAAGGCACAAAATTAGAGAATAAACAGTTTTCAGTCATAAGGAACTATCATTTGCGGATTGAGCAGCAAAAGCCTCACTCTGAATCCATTCCTTGGCACAAATCAGAGCTTCAACCGTCTCTGGCCTCAGCGACGTCTTGTAATCGTCCATCTCTCTCGGTTCCATGTCGAATACATAGCCTAAAGCTGCAGCCGACACGGGAATTGATAGTATATCTCGGGCCATCTTCGAAAGCGTCGGGTATTTAAGCTTGTTCTGTTTCCACCAGTCCAACACATCGAACTCCTGAACACGCGGTAACAGCGTCTCATCCAGGTATTGGTCTAACTCCGACTTCAGATTCTGTCCAGTCGTCTCCATAATGTACATGTCAAAGTCTATCAATCCATCCGGTTTCGGGTCTCCCCCACCGCCTTCGGCGTAAGTCGGGGTGAGTGGCAAAGGAAGAGCGATGTACTCGTTAAAGAGCTCATGAATCCCATCATCCACGGTTTTGATATTCTTCGGGGCGTCTTCCCCGAATATTTTCGAGAAACTGAACTCCACGAGCTTCATCTTGAACCGAGGATCCATGACCACAGCCATGGCCAAAACCAAGCTACAATCTCTCCAGTACTTGTCGATCTTCTCTTTCATGGTTTTAGCAAGGCCACCCATGTAAGGATCTTCACCCGCAATCACACGGGAGAGATCTGCCTGCGTCTTCCAGATTTCGTGGAAGAACGTAACCGAAGTTGGGTTGTCAGTAGATTGAAGAACGTATACCGCATCATAAAGAGGCTTCAAGAACGTGCAAAGGGTCTCGGCCTGCCTCCAGTCTTCAGCTGATGGAACTTGTTTGTAGTCAGGATCAGCGGTGTCTAAGCACGAGAACACCTCCTTTAACTCTGAAGCAGCCACGAGCATCAGATATGTCGTGTTCCATTGAGTTTGATCATCGAGGGAAAGTATCAACTCGGTAGGAACTTGGAGGTGTTGCTTAAGTTCAAGGAACTTCTCCTCACGCGATTCTGAAGTTTTCACATACTTCACACTATCGCGGATCTTCTTGATCACGTCTTTTCCTTGAACAATCACATCTTTTGCAAGGCTGCTAAATGTACGGGCAACACAATTCCCGATTAACAACTGACCGTCGAGAATATTCGTATTCTTGATGCAGAGTAGAGGTCTGAGATTCTCGAGGGCGACTTTACTAACAGGATAGTTTAAGGTAACACAAAACAGCTTTCCCTCAAGACCCCAATCAGCAAGGCAAGAAGAAACAGCAAGACTCAAAGCAGAGTCGGAATCCGGATACGGTTCCATCACGACATTGAGAAGCTTTTTCTGCAAGTTCCAATCACTGTCAATGAAGTGACCAGTTATAAACACGTACGATAGAGTTTGCTTCGAAGTCCAGAAGTCCAAGGTAAGGCCAAACCGCCCAGGAACGCCCTCGAGATATTTCATGACATTCTGCTTTTCCGCAAGATAAGTTGCGACACAATCTCCTTGAACAGTGTTGAAACTCACCATCTCAGAGCGAGGCTGAAGACTCTGGACAAAGGAGATGAACCCTGGATGTTCAACCATGTGAAGGGGGTAATCATGCATAATGATCATCTTGGCGATTTCACGGCGATAACGGTCCTGATCAAACAGAACATAGGTAGAGCCGGAGGTTCGGTACCGCCTTCTCGGTGTATCGCTCTTGGGGGTGTATGGCGTAAGCTGGTTATTCTCGAGGGGATGTAAAAGCGCAGGGCACGTCCCCTTGGCAATGTGTCGCTTGAGATGGCTGGTACCCGCAACTTTCGAACCATTGCTGTAAGCAAAGCTCTGTTTACATCCATTGCAACATGCCCTTCTGCATCCAGGACTTACTGTCTCAATAGTGAAGTGCTCCCACACCATTGACTTCTTTTTCCGACGCTTGCTCGGTTGTGTTTCTGGGGTTACCATCTCATCATGATTGTAGACCTCAATAGCTGTTTCCATCTCGTCAGACGTCTTCTTGATCTTAACTCCTCTGGTAAGGAGGGAAACCAAAAAAACAAAAAGGAATCAATAAACCAGACCACATGAAAGACAACACAATGACCAGATTAAATATCAACTATGGCAAATCTTCGAATCAAACTAGAAGAAGAAGAACGACAATGGAATTGACTGAGGTGGTCAAAACACGATAAAGACCAAGAAACCATCATTTTCTGTTGTTTCCTTTTTGTCCTTGGACAGCCAATTACACAGTTTTAGCGCTTCGGTTCAAATTCAGAATCGTAATAAACATGGAAGTCACCCACACAAAAACAAAGAATCATAGCAACATATATTTGTAATGCTGGGCCTAACCTAAGGCCCAACGCGAACAGGCCCACGAGAAATAAGAATATAATCGTGCAATAATAATGATGAGGGATAAAATTGGTATTTCACCCGCTACCGAACCAAAGACCCACGTGCTGCAACGAACCCACCAAAGAAAATCCAAAAGTCCGAAAGGGAGATGAAGAAATAAAAAACAGATCTGGAGTTTATTAGGACCTGAGACTCGGATCGAACATGGGCTGCAAAACGAAAAGGAAGAGCCCAGGTTAAGATGAAGACTCAGGACAGACATGAAATCGATCCTCACGAGATCGGCCTCAAATGCGTTTATGACGGACCCGAGTAAACTTATATACACGATCGGCTGAAACTTTTTAAAAATTGAATTTGCCTCCACGACGAGTCGTAAAAATTTTCAAACTTCGCTCCTAAACCACTAATGAACTTTTCCTAGGTATGGCTTGGCTGCAAATTCACAGCAAACGATAGCAGAGCACAAAGAGGAAAATTTTCGGAGTAGAAACCGACGTTCATACGAAACAACATCCGTACAGGAATTGTGTACAGAACAAGCCTTATAGAGATTCGAACTATTCACGAACAGATCGGACCTATGCTTGCACTCTCTACTCGAGCAACAAAATTACGGAATCCATCACGAATTAAGATAAATAAAATTCTCCGATAAGGAGGAATTCTGGAGGGAAAAAAATCAAGCGTGAAAGCAGCAAAAAGCCCCTAAAAAGTTCAACGAAAAAGAGAAAAAAAACAATGGAGCAGATACGAAATTGAATCTAGGTTTAGGGTTTCTGTAATTGTACCTGCGAGAAGAAAGCCGACGGAGGAAAATTAGATCCCAGAAGGTAACCGGAGGTGAAAGGAGAATCTCCGGCACGGCGGAGACGGCGGATCGGATCCGATCGAAGAATCAGAGAGAGAGAGAGATAGGGATTTGGGCTTGAGAACCCGATAGGCTAATTGGACCTTCGGGGGAAAAACAAAGAGGGCAAAGTGACAATGTTGTTTTATCTCTGTGGAAAAGATAAGCGTCTAAATACGTTAGGTCAATTGTCAAGGACCTCACGGATTCTATTGGGCTTTTTCTTAGGCCCATTTCAACTTCAAACCCGAATTCTTTTTCTGGTTTTTTAAAATATTTTTTTAATTTTTTTTTTTAACTTAATCAACGAAGAGATTTCATTTGAAACTGTTGCAATTGCAATGAACAGATTTAAATATACAGATTACCCTAAAAAAAATTTAATATCATTTGGTTACTTTATTATAATAAGTTCACTTCTATTTTATACTGATAGTTAAATTTTAATCTCATAAAGAATGAATATATTAAGAAAAAAAAAGGATAAATTCGTCCTTTATATATTAATTACCAAATATTAATATATATTAAAGTATTTATCGTAAGCTACAACTGCTCTAGGAAGAATTCGATAAAATTATCTACTAAAATCCCTAAAAGTGTGAATCGTCTTTTATAATTCATAGAACAGTAATTAAGATGATCAAGTTAAGAAAGAAATTTATAAATTTATATAATATATATATATATATATATAATAATACAAACAATATATACATATAATTAGATTTGGGAGCAAAGACAAGTGAGCGTGCGGGTGCGTCCTTATCTATCAAAGATAGACAGTGAGGCCGCAGTTATTGAATTGGTGTGTATCTATTTAGTGGTGGGTGGACTGTGATTACCTACCTCCATTTTTTAGCCAATCCTTAGATAATTTATCCGATTTAAAAGTGATCCGAAAATTGTTTATTTTAATTCCAAGGATTGGATTTATATATAATCATGTGATTTATAAATCCATCAATCTATTAAAATATTATAAAATATATGAATTTTAAAACTTTAGCTAAAATACATCAATTAATAAATTCATAGATAAATTTATCGGTTGTTCTATTTTAATAAATTGAGATAAAAGGATTTCAAATCTAACGTTTTTTAAAACAATAAATATATTTTACCACACTCATAAAAATAAAATAAGCTCCATATATGCATCCACTTCCTCATATTATAGTATATACTTTGAAAGAAATAAAAAATTAATTTTTAAGTGAAAGATAATTACTAGCTCATGCCCCCACAGCACATATATATCAAAGGGGAGGGAACAAAAAGACAAAAGGGTCGGCCGAAAGCAAAACACAGAAAACAACACTTCTTCTTTTCTTGTCCCCCTTTCCCCTCTTCCCCCCCACGCCTCTCTCTCCCTCTTTTATTTATTCTTTTTTCTATTTTTGTACAAATGTTTTGAAAGTCCTATATTAATATACTTAATCAATATATATATATATATATATATATATATATATTGAAAGAAATATTATCCTTGTATTTTAAGGTTCATCATTTTCATTCTTTTTACACAAAAGCGAACTTACCAAAAACTGAAAAAGACATAATTATATTTAAATCAAATCATATTAATCTGTCTGTATTTTATTTAAAACCGATAAATTTAACCCAAATCAAATTTAAAACGAATATAAAAATAACTAAACAATTTGATATTTTTAAGAAAACGAATTCAAATCGAATCTAAACAAAAAAAATCCATTTATTATAAAAAAAACAAATAAATATTATTTTTCTAAAATGGAAAACCTAAATCCAAAAAATATAAGAATCAAAATTCAAAAATAACCACTGTGTTAGTTCAAGGATCTAATATGGTTTCATCACATTAAAATCATTTACCTCTGGGAAATTGAAAGTTTGTTCCGTTTGAAATGTATACAAGTTTTTTGTAAAAAGGATATATCATCGTATATGATATGATTCCACGTCTCCGTGGAATGGATAACTATCACATCTTAATCTCACATTGTACAATTGCATTTTTATGGTATAAAATTCGGTATAACTTTTCAAACCTTTTTTTTTAATAATATCTTAGTTTTATAGTCTCTTCTAGGAGTAGCATTTCGGTACGGTTCTTTAGACTCGAACCGTGTCAAACCGAAAAATATGTTATTTTTTTGATTGAACCGTTCAAAATTTTCGAATGATATTTTTTTTTAGAAAATCATATTTTTTGGAATTGAATCGAACCGAATTTTAAATAAAATCCCAAAAACTATTTTTTTTAATAAAAATGAAATTGAATCAATCGAATATAATATAATAATCGGTGATATAAAATCGAAAAAATCGAACTTACTATTCATAAACCGAACCGGAACCGTATACCAAACGTCCAGCCATGATCTCTTCCATGTTTATTTGTTTTCAGCAATTAACCCCATAAAAGTTACACTAGACAGAGAGATATTTTGTGGTCTCTCTTGTGCACCAAACGTTGGACAAAGACATCATCATCTCTCTACCCACACATGTAATCTGTGTGTATACGTGTCTCTCTCTCTATATACACACACGCACGCATGTATACATATATATTATATATACACACGTATACACACAGTGAGAGAGAGAGTGAGGTCACGTCAGAGAAGACGATGGAACTGGACAATTTTCCCTCGGCGGAGTTGTACGGAGCTACCATCTCCAGCGAGAAACGCCGCCTCAGGGAGCCGTCATCTGCGGCGGCGCCGGCGGCGGAAATGTCTCTTCTCCGATGGGATGCGAAACAACCCGATGAAGACGACGATGACCCTAAAGGCAATGTTGTACCCAAAGCTTGTTCCATTTCCTGTTATCCCACCAAGTAGGTGTTTTTGTTTTTTTTTTTTTATCTTTTCATAAAATTGTTACAAGAAGGTTTTATTGGAATTATTCGATTATTGGGTCAAATTTTAAATATTATTTATCTCAATTTGATTCGGACAAATTATGAACGCAAACGCGAATTTATTCGTTCCATTAATTTGATTTGGAGAAAATGCTGACAAAGATTCAAACTTGATTTGGTTTCGATTGGATTTTATCGAAATCCATTTGGTTTTTTCCGGTTTGGTTTTGCTACGTCTAATATATTAGACCGGTTATCGAAAATACATAGGAAGAAATTGGCGGGTTGGCCTCCCGTTAAGAGATGGAGAAAGAAGAGCATTTGGAAGAGCCGCTTCAATCGGACGGTGGATAACGTCTGCATCGCTTGCCGACGTAGGACTTCTTATGATCGGACGGTCAAGAATCAAGGTGATTTTTCTTTTACAATTATTTCTTTGTTTATTCTGAAATATGAATCTAATTTTTAAATTCCTATTAATAAATATAACTCAGCCTTTTTCATTGGGTTTGGATTTACAGGAATTTTGTCTGAAGTGCTCGACGTATGAACGTTAAAAAAACGCCGACATAATTATGCTCGAAGTGGTGTTTTTTTTATATTATTAATATTATAATTAAAGGATAAATGGTTTTACAATAAAAATTACCATATGTATACTCTCACTTAATTTAGGTGAAGATTGGATGTGCGTCTGTATTTATTAGGGGTTTTGATAATGAATAACATCACGAAAAAAAATGTGGACCACCTCATGGTATAGTATAATCTCACTTAATTTTTAGGTGAAGATTAAATGTGCATCTGTATTTATTAGGGGTTTTGAATAACATCACGAAAAAAAAAATGTGGATTGCGAATTTGTCCAAAAGATGAAGGAATCCACAACTTAAATATTCTATAGAAACAAATAGTAAAGCAATTTCCAGATCTGTGCGGTTAGAGTTTGAACTTTGAAGGCAGTAAATATTGTTCTTAAATTTTGACAAAAAAAAATATTCTTCTTAAATTTGTATTTATGAAATATCTTTTATTTAAAAGAAAGTTTGATAGCTCAAATTAGAGGTTAGCAAACGGTTGATTCCGGGTTAATCGGTTACGGTTATTTCGGTTTGATTATTTCGAGTTATGAAAACTCATAACCAAACAGTCAATTAATTTTATTCGGTTCGATTTCAGTTCGGTTCGGCTCGGTTTTTTCTATTTAAAACTATAACCAAATTATAACCAAATAAAAATTCGGTTCGGTTTTAGTTTGGTTATAATATTAAAAAAATCAATTCATTTATCATTAAAAAATATTCAAATAAAATATAATATAAAATATTATAATAATTATTTTAACATATAAAATAATAATATCTAAATTCATATTTTGATATAAAACTATTAAATAAATAAAGACCATTTTTCTAATCTTTATATCACGCCAAACTTTAAAAACAATAATAAAAATGATAAAATACGTTTAAAATATAATAAAATAATGATTAAATAAGAATACACATATTCATATATGTATATAAATATATATAAACAGTTCAGTCCGGTTCGGTTATTTCGAATTTTAAAAATTCATAACCAAACGGTTAATATTTTTTAATCGGTTCGGTTTAGATTCGGTTATTTCGGGTTTTGAAAAATCGTAACCAATCGGTTATTTGACTCGGTTTGGTTAAGAATCGAAATATTTTTATTCGGTTCGGTTCAATTAATAACCAAATTAACCGAATCGAATACCCACCTCTAGCTCAAATAACGTCTAGTGGGCATTTTGGTACAATTTTTTTGAAATGAACCGTATCAAATTAAAAAATATGGTATTATTTTTTTGTACAACTTTTCGGAAATGAACCGTATCGAATTAAAAAATATGGTACTATTTTCCAGAATCGAACCAAATTGAATTTTTAAAAAATCTGAAAAATTAATTTTTTTAAAAAAATCTAATTTTTTAAATAAAAATCTGAACCGAAATCAAACCAAATATAATATAATAATTAATTGGTATATATTTTTATAAAATTGAAAGAATCAAATTGAGTACGGAAATACCTATCCCTATACTCAATTCATGTAGTCATAATTTGGATCTAGCGTTATGATAACATGAAATTTGAGTTTACACATTGCTATATTTTATATTTTTATTGTATGAAAAATTATATTTGTTATGAAAGGAATAATTCTAATATGTTATGTGTACATTTAAACTTACGGGATTAATAATAATAATAATAATGAAAACAACTACTTTCATATAATTTTCCAATATTTCTTTAACTACAACTTCCGTCTTAAAAAATTTAATTTCCTCTTTCACCTTTCCGACTTCGATCTTCAATTCCCCATTATCGGCCTTTATATATATACTCTTTTGTGAGAATCCGAATCTATAATTGAAAATCGAGATTGTTACAATCCTCCTCCTACAACCTCTCTTCTTCCGGTCTTGATGAAACTGATGAGCTTTATTTTCTTTTGCTTGACTTTTGTAGCGTTTCTAAAAGAAAATTAAGTTTATATATTTAATTTAAGAAGTACTAAAAACAATTTGCATTTTGAGAGATTCAATTAGATCTAAGATAGTTATCAATTTGGATAGTTCAATCGGTGAAATAAAAATATAAAACGTTTATTTTATTTCGAATTTGAACTATAAATTAGAAAAAAAAGCATAATTCTTATCAGATGATTTACTCCGATCCCCAAATTAGTCTTATCCTCGACCCATTAGATCCGATTATCAAAAAAAAATATCTATATCTATATAACGTATTCTTTAAATTACAAAACAAATAAAAATTATCATAAACCTTCACCTGTCAAAGCGCCGGTTGATATTTTTATACCCAAAAGGGGTCTCATCTCATTTGTGTTGATACGGTTTCGTTAAGGGTATTATCGACATTTGAGAAACGCTTCTGAAATTTTTACTCGAGGGTTCTTACGGACATTTTGGGTAAAATCCCTCATGTCAACCGTCGTCGTGCTCGACAATGGCGGCGGCCTCATCAAGGCCGGTCACGGCGGAGATCGCGATCCCTCCGCCGTAATCCCCAACTGTCTGTACCGTCCTCTATCAAATATTTTTTTAATTTTTTTTTT